GCTAGCAAACCAATCGCTAGCCGCCAGGTAGGAATAATTTAGAATTGACCAATAGTGGGACACAAATTTGCATACGTGTGGCAGGAACTCTTTTGCACCGGGGTTTTCTCTCTGCAGCTGAGAAATCCACCGTGCAAAGAAAGCTCCATGTGGCGGGAAAATTCCAATGTGCCGAGGCACTAAATATCATTGGGTTATGACAAAAGCTTCTTCATTCAGTGCAGTGGTTCTCAACCTTTTATTGTACCAGGACCCATTTGTAAACACCGATGGACAGTCCCGACCCGCTGCCCCCCACCTCCAGCTCCCCAGTGTGTGGAGTTGGGGGTGTGGGGCAGGGGAGGCTATGGGGAGCCCCTTGCAGGCTGGAACTCTGCCAGCCTGCAAGGGAAAAGCCACAGTTTCCCATGTTTTTCTCCTTTAAAGGAGACTCCATTTTTAAAGTTTGTTCACAACCCTATTCATGCAACCCACTTTTGGGTCACGACCCATGGGTTGGGAAACGCTGATCTAGTGAACCCTTCCCACTGCCAATAGGTTGCTTTTTGTAATAAAACAAGGATATATATGTTTCTTTACTCCTCTCTTTCCTTTAACATGGTTGAAAATGTGTGTTTACTATTTACTGCACCCCAAAAACACAAAAATCACCTAGGTCATTGGGCTCAACTTTTTTACCCTATGGGTCAGATCAGGCCCTGGGACCCAGTTCACCTCTCCCACCTCCTGCACACTGGGATTGGACTCTGGGGCCTGGCACCGCCCCCTCCCACCTCCTGTGTACTGGGATCAGGTGCTAGATCCAGAGCACCGTGCCCAGGACTCCCCATGGGTCCAGAGATTTGGCAGCGGGGGAGTGGTGACACTGCTCCCCTGCCACCAAATTTCCAGACCAGCGAGGAGCCCTGCAAGCCAGATGACACAGTGCTGCAGGCTTGGGGGTTGAGCAACCCTGTTCTAGGTCAGTCCAAAATTAGGTCATTTTGGAATTATCATCCAAAAAAAGGTGTTACAATAGAAAATAAGTAATGATTGGTAATATCTATTGAAAGAAAATTCCTGCT